GCAGCGTGGGAAGAGTTGCCAACTTCACTGATCCGCCGTTCATTTGTGAAGGCAATCCCTGGTGCCCCCAATGCCCCTTAACTTGCGCAACATTTCGTCTCACAGTAATTGCGTTCCACAGTAATTACTCTTCACAGTAATTGAATTTCGTCGTGTAATCCATAGTTTCATCTCGTAGTTGTCGAAAACGGGTTTATTTAGTCCAATCAAACAACAGTAGCAAGTTTGGCGAACAATTTGTTAATCACGATCAAAAACCATCACCAATTAATATATTTCCAATACAAATTTCAAGACAACAAGGTAGTACCACTGGGTGAATTTTTCCGTCGTTGCTGTACCTTTATCCTTTGATTTCCCGAGGTGTCGATTTGGCAAACGCGGTCCATGACAATCCAAGCAGTCGACACACCAAGCGTGTCCAACTTGTCGAGAAGGCGCCCGAACCACGTCACGCAGTATTCATGGTTGAACATACCGTGATAATCGTTGGGCTCCTTCGCCTTGGTTGTCCCTCCGGTAAAGTTTCCAGACCCAGTAACTTGCAGTGCATGCCTGGTGCGTCGAGGATGCCGACAATACAACAATACCGCGGCCCTATTGTGTTTCTCTTACGTTGGAATGCCTTTAAAGTAGTTGGGACCGTAAAGACTGTCTTTGTGACGCTTGTAGTGGTGGTGCATGCGCGACGTATCAGTGTACACGACACACTGGATGCATCTTGGCAACGTTCTCGTCGCGTGCTAGCGCGTTCTTCATGGAGAGTTGGTACGCAGAAGACCCGGAACGACTTTCACGCTTGTAACCCTTAAGAGAAGCGTTGGACAGACCGCAGTGTCGACTCATCATGGGTCTGGTTTCTAAGGTCCACTGTGATCACGTCTTGTTCGCAAAGTAAGGCTAACATGTCAACGGCAGTAGTGCGTGCACGTGAGGCGCGTCGGACCCGCACACATTCTTGGACGCGGTCGATTACATCGCGCATGTGTGGATTGCGGTGCGTATGGTTTGTCCTGATTGGTGAGGGTGTAGCAGCAGTAACCTTGCCTCACTCACTCCATGTACCCGCCCATTACCTTCTTTACCACATGTAGGCTTGCTTCACGAAGTCGAAGCACTCCTGCGCAGTTTGGTCCATGTTGTAAGAGTAGATTCCATAAATTCTAGTGCCAACTGCAGGCTAAGAGTTGGTCGAAGATGTCATGCAGTGAGGTACTCGAAAACCTTTATAATCCAAAATAGACAATATTTCAATATATTTCTATTTTGATAATATATTTTGATTAATTAATTCGTAATATAGAATTTGTACAAGTTATTGGGTAACCAGAATAAATATTAACTAAGCTCGTCCTTGACAAGGTGAATTTCAGGAAGGTCATCGAATTTCGAAGGTATTTAATTATACAGTCATGCAGGTCATGTTAAAGCATACAAAACCCCATATAAATACGACCTCACACTGTCTATGCAAAAACGTTGTCGGGGACAGGAAAGAATTCACCATCGCGTATGTTGGAGTTGGCTCGCCATGGCAGCAACATGTACGGAAGATGAGGTCTCGTGGCATCTGCATCAATTGTATAAATCCCCTTGCTCCATGTCTACGAACGCGGCGATGCTGGGGGTAATGGCCATATGGGTGGCTACGGCGAACGAGGCAACGGTCGAGACATTGTGGAGTGGATCGTGTTGATGAAACGAGGCACACGAATCCAAGTCGCGACGGAGAGAATCGTTGCAGCATGCGGCAGGAGGTTCGCACGATTCACGTCCAGGGAACGGATTTCCAATGCCTGGATCAGCCATCGCGAACACATTCAACGGCATCGTTCAACGTGATTGCCATACCCTGCATCCACACAGTGGGTCGCCCTACTCGACTTGCCCGATGGCGTTGTCAACGTGGCCGTCCTCTCGCAGCACCTAAGCGGCATGAGCTCACGTTTCAATGCCCGTCGTACCGAGAGTAACATTTCGAACGAGCAGGACGTTTGGCCGACATGGGCCAACTTGGTCCAGCTGTCGGCAACGCCTCGTTGCGGCGAGCATCGCTTTTGGAACACAGCGCCTGTCACCTCAACGTCGCCATCTCCGCCCCATTCAATCGATTCGACCGACACGCGCACCAAGTCGCCGGCCACAACCTGACCCCACGACACCCACCGGGGTCAAGAACCTCCACACATACCACGTTTTCCACCTACTTCTTCCGCCTTGGCTTGCTCCGGCGTAAATGTATACATGACAACGTGGTCGCTCGTTGCACATGCCAGACCATCGTCGTCAACTTCCAGAACGACCGAGAGTTGGTTCTCGTATTGACTTGTGTCGGCATCCCGCCAGAGCAGCACAAGCGGCGTGAGCCCGGGGGTGTACATGCCAGCTTTGCAGTAAAACAACAAGCCGTCCCTGTGCCACGTTGACGTGAGAATCGTCCCATCAAATCACGAGATCAGACTCCACAGGCGCGTGCGCACAGACCACCCGGTTGCACACGCAGAAACGAACACGCCACGATGTGTGCCTGGCTCTGGCGAACGATGCGCCATGCCGCCGTCACACTCGCTTCAGCCCATCACGTTCAAGATTCGCGTGGGCGAACCAACGTACTTTGTAAAGGAGAATGTCGTCGCGTGCGCCGCGATGAGCCCGTCGACCGTGCAGTCGTACGACGGCACTGGCTATGATTTGCATGTCAGTAATAAATTGAATGGGTTTCGATGGCAAAGTCGCAAAATCCAACCTCCAACGCCACAGTGCCAGGCGGACTGCCTTGGGCAGTACAAGTAGATGCAAGCTGCACACGGCATCGTGGAAGGATCGAAATGTCCTTAAGCATGACTCTGCACCACACACAAAAGAACTGCGCACACGTCCCTCACCTCAAACGCATATGGGTTTGCATTCGTGATGGTGGCAGCGGTGGTTTCAGCCAGCTTGTCCCGCAGCCAGTACTGGCGGAAATCAACCGTGCAGTCGTACAACAAGTAGCCCTAGTTCATGCAGTCCATAAGTCACGAAGAACTACCAAGTAACAAAGAGCTGCCAAGTACCTTCCAGCACATGACGTCGAGGACGCAAAATGTCTCACTCGCTTCGTGGAAAATACAATCGAGGACGCAGTACTGGTCTTGGCCGGCGTTTGTTTTGCGCGAGCCTACGACCGATCCGCGACGGCACGTGCTCCTTGAGTGAAGCGACGGGGATGCGACGGCAGACGTACCGCATGGCAGAGCTGATGGAAATTTCTTCAAAACACTGCCACTCACGGTGCGGGCGACCGTACTGCCACTACAAGCCGCGAATAGATCAGTGCCTCGTCAAGAGAGACGATTCATTGTACTTGGAAGCAATTACGAGGCATCGCTTGCCGTCTGGACGCGGAAGGACGAGCCAACCGTCATCAAACTCTCGCTGCCGAGACGACGACACCGATGCATGCACGAGCGTCGAGGGAATGTCGACCATCCATTCGGGGTGCATCAACTGGTTCGAATAGTGACTGCGGCGGGCTTTCACTCTGTCTTCGCGCGTTTTCTTGCGACTTTTGGACGCCGCCATGGAAACCTCCATCTCGGCGTCCATCATCGTGGCCGTCAAGTCCTCGAGCTCGCTGTCGACACTTGGCAGCGCCAATGAACGCACGTGCATCGTAAGGTCACGCCGTGCTTGCTTTTGTCTCTCCATGGCGTCCTGTCGCCGTCTCTCTTGGTTCTGATCCATCGACAGACCAAGCCGCTTCCATCCTTCCCGCCTCGGGTGCATCGGTGTGTTGCAACGTTGCAGTTGCTGGAAAAATGTTCATTTTAAATACGCTGGACAAAGACCGACGAAAATTTGACAGTGACATAGTAACGTTTTAATGAATAGAAATAGTTGTATTGCAGGGTTTAGTATTTTAAAAGTCGTCCCGCCATTGAAACAGCCATCATTTTAAATAGCCAACTTGATTGCGGTTGTGACAGCTCTCGGCATGCAAACGCTTTCATCACGATTCAAGTTCGGCATGTGCCTAACGTATGGAGCCTACACGAGCCACTTACAGCCCCCTGAGGCCTTTGCGGTGGATGTAGAATGAGATTCTTGCAGGTCGTTCATGAAGGCTCCAGTTGACATGTTCCGACAGATTACCCGGAATTCGCACGTTTATCCGGATAAATGCAGATACTGGCTGAAATGGACCAATCCGACGTCGCCCATGACATAGTTAGCCAATCAAATGCTCTCCCTTGATCTCCGGATACGTTATCCGACCATATTTGCCGTCCAATTAATGGGCATGGCAGTTTGAACTGCGCACGCATCCAGGATGACGACAACGGAGAAGGAGAAGGGTGCCAAGCAATTCCATCAGCAGAAGAAGGTCATCCAGCGTTTGCTCACCAGTGCCAACGGTGTGTGACACCGGGTCCACTTCATGCGCTTAACCGTCGTGGAGTAGATGGTGACGTGAACGAGCTGGAAGCCTCCATCCGCGCCATCTTGGACTCGACGGCCAACGTGTCGGTCGAAGATATCTTGACGGACTTTAAGGATGCGCACAAGCGGTCTGCAATCCATTTCGCTGCACTCAACGGTCGTCGCAAGGTGATCGCGTACATCTTGGAACACGCACCAGGTGCATTGAACGCCGTCGACGAAGACGGCCGCACGCCCTTGTTGTATGCTATCAAGTCCAACGAATTCGCGTCCGCCAAAGTGCTGCTGGTGCGTCCTGCACACACGATGCAGCTCGTTGTGTCGTCGGTCACCGCCGTGAATAGGACGCAGGTGCTAACCCGAACATCGTCGAGTCGAACGGGACGTCCTGTTTGCATGAAGCAGCCGCCCACGGGTCTGTCCGCGCCATTAAAGCCCTTTTGGACCGCGGAGCCAACTTGAACGCGTCGACCAAGAACGGCACGCCTTTGCACATTGCGGTACGGCTTCAGTGCCCACCAGACTAGGCCCATGCCATGGACCTCATCGTGATATGGAATTCCCATCGTGCAGGTCAGCGAAGGACACGACAAGGCCGTGGACGCCCTCGTCGAAGCTGGCGCAGACGTCAACACTCGAAACGATCATGGGATCACGCCACTGCTCTTGGCCACTTTGATGCGCAAACCCCACGTTGTCACCAACCTGCTTCGTCACGGCGCCGACATGCAGGTACTACGTCGGCCTTATGCTGGTGCCGAAGGGCTTGCGACGTGTGTGTGTTTCTGTCCAGCCCGACATGCATCGACCGCTTTCGACTTGTGTTCCATCGAGTTGTCTGCTTTGACTCGATTTCTCAAGCGACGATGGCCTGGTCGTAGATTTGCATTATGCCTGGGGTGACCCCCTTGCACGTGGCGGCCGAAACGGGGTTTGCCGATGTTGTGTCGATCATGTTGGACGTGCGGGCCGACGAGACGAAACAAATTGCCAACCAACGCACCGACGCCGGGTACGCCTTCCGGTCATTTTTCAGCGTCCCATCGAGCTAACTGACGGTCGGGTAGAGTCACTCCGTTGCAGTTGGCAGCAGGGCTTGGCCACAACGAGGTCGTTGCGATTTTGAAGCCTCTCACCGCGGGCTTTGAGTCGCGCGACACGGCCGAGTTGATCGCGACCGAACAAGCTCGAGTACGTATAATACGTCGGGCGCCACCGAGCGAGCCGTCGTAGTCTCGATGGCATCCATTCGTTGAGATTTCGTTGATGGGAAGCACGGGGATGTAGGTTGCCACCGAGTCGGCGGAACCGATCAAAGCCCCCAAGAGTGACAAAGACCAAGCGCCGACGCCGTCCGACATTGTGGATGAGCCTGTCGAGATGGTTCGTGTTCCTATCTCGATCGATTCATTTGATCGTGTGGCGTCCTTGGGGTCCTCGTGGTGTCGCTGAGGGGGATTGTGCATGATAGCCAGAAGCAATTGAAGTCGACGCGTCTGCGCAAGCGAACGCGACGGCGCTGAAAGACGAAGGCAACAAGCTGTTTGTCCAAAAGAAATATGTCGAGTCGATTGCGTTGTACACACAAGCAATTGCGTTGGCCCCACGGGACCCGTTCCTGTACAGCAACCGATGCGCCGCGCTGTTGGCAGCCAACCGTGCTCAAGATGCCTTGCGCGACGTGCGCATTTCGAAAGCGGTGCGTGGGGTGACAACGATGCCATGCCATTGCGACACTGGCCATGCCTTGATGACAGCATTGCACCAACCTGACGAAATGGCGGTGCTCTGTAGCTCAAGCCCGACTGGCCCAAGGCGCTATTCCGCGAAGGCCAATGCCTGGAAGCGCTGAAGCGGTACGAATTCATCTTGGCTCAGCCTCCAAGTACTCACAGTTGTGCCATTCAGTTACGAAGACGCGGCGTGCGCGATGTGGGCGGCAATGCAGCTCGCGCCAGATGACAAGTTGATCAAGAAGCGATTCCAGGACTGTGTCAAGCGAGGTCGAGAGGAATTTCAAGCGTCGTCGGCAGCTAAACCGTAGACGATATCGCACCTTTCACTCTTATCCCTTGCTTTGCTTATCCCTTGCTTTGCGTTGTCCGAATTCGCCGCCATTTGCTGTCTGCCGCTCTCAAAACGTTTTGCAAATACCACCCCACCTACTGCTTGTCGTCGTGGTCAGGGCGACCAAAGCCATAGTCTTCCGAGTGGCGAGTGGTCGGGGGATCGATGATTCGGGGCTGCGTGGCGGAAAGCGGTGTACCGTGAGGGACGATCACAAGCAGCGGCGCGGCCGTCGTGGTGTCGTTCGTTTTGCAGCTTCCGCCGTTGGCACTGGGGGCGGTAGTTGGCTTTTGACCGACCACTGCCATGTTGCCTCGGAAAAATGGCGGCGGCACACTCAATTGGCGATACATGGCCGCCTGGTCCTGGACGGGCTGACGAAGACGGGTGATCGTGCGTGTATGCGTCGGTGGGGCTGACTCTAGTGAAAATGGCTGAAGCGAGCCGCCCTCCCGAATGAAGGAATACCTTGTTGGTTGTTGTGGAGCGAGAGATGGGGGGATAACGGGGTCAACTGCGTCGCCTCCGCGAGAATGCGCCGCCGGTGTTTTTTCGATCGACGGGATGGCACGGAATCGATAGAGTCGCTTGGGAACGCCGCCGCGAACGGTTGTGTTCGCGGCCTCGAGCTGCGTGACGGGGGACGTCGACTCGACCCAACGAACGGGATCGGCACGTCGCCCATGCTGTGGGGTCGGGGAAGGCCGGGAACCGACCGGGCCCTTGAGAGCGTCTCCAACGACGCGGCGACGTTTTGACTATGCGATGTAGGTGGTCTACCCACCACCAGCCCTTGAACTCGGGTCATGAAAATGCGCACGGAACCCACCTGCGATACTGAACGGACAGCCCCAACAGCGCTTGAAACTTTTGCGACGGCTGGGCTTGGTAGACTTCGGTCTCTGGAGATGACAGCTCGATGGCACTGTAGAAAGGCACGGCGTAGTGCCCTGAAACGAGCTTGCTCGCAGCATGCTGCGTCATGGGCCGGCGGTGGTCGTGGCCGGCGGTCGGGCGCATCGTTGACGATGACGTTCGAAGGCATCGGCGGCAGTCAGTGTCAGGGAAGAACGGATCGAATGGCGTGTACAACTCGCGCAAAAACGCTTCCTTGTCGGCAGCCTGGCGGGCTGCTTCGTCGGCGTACTCGGCAGCATCTCTATCCAATTCATCCATTTGGTTCGCACATGTTGGCAGTCGTGAGCGTACCGCGACCGCCCATCTTCGCGCAACATGTTCCGCCGGTCACTGGCGAGCCTGGCCACCCGTTGCTGCTGTTGCTCCTGGCGTTGTTTGGCCCACTCGGCCGATTCCAAGTCCATCGTTGCCATGTGCTGCCGCGCTTGCTCGAGTTGGAGCCACGCCTGCCGCGAATGTATTTCTTCGTGCGCCATCGCAGCGCTGTCCAGCTCCATGCGTTTCTGGCTCGCTTCAGCTTCTCGACGCATCGCCTCATCTACAGTGCGGATGATGCAGTCAACTTCGTCGTGTGAGTGGTGGCCCGCTACCTCGCTGCCACGTCAGAATCCGCTTGACTTCGACTTGACGCGCTCGCTTCTGCGCCTTTCGCTCATCTTCCCGAAGCTGTTCTGCCAACAGTAGCGCCGCCACTCGCTCCTCTTCGGCAATTCGAGCACCTATTGCGTCGTGTTGAGCCGACGTCGACCGTTCATTGCTCACGGTCAAGCGCGTCCAGCTCAAGTTGGCGAAGGCGCTCCGCTTCCCGTATCTCACGCTCTTCGACCTCTTCGTCGCCGTTGTCCAGCCCACAGCCAGACGCCCATCCGGTGGCCGCCACGGCCGCGGCCTCCCTCGGGCCTGGCATCGTGTTGAAAAAGTACGAGATAGTGTAGTCCCGCTCGGGGCGCTCACGGGGGCTCGGGGCCTCGTCGTCACCGACATCGTCGTCGTCCTATCGAGGTGTGAAGAGATCACTATGAAGATATCGGTGTGAACGGGTTGGATGCCAACCATGAGACGCATCACACGCGCTGCGTCATCTTCGCTTTCCATTTGCCTGCGGTTCCACACCAACTGAGCTGCTTCCCACTGCTCTCTCAGCGCCTTCTCCCGCTCCAAAGCGTCCGCATCGACGCCGACCGCCGTTGGACTTTGCGCACTTGCGTGCACACCGCCCTCACCGGCCACTCCGTCGTCCGCGCCTAGCTCGACCTGTCCAACCGTTGGAGATGCCGATGTACGTCGTCCTGGGCACCCACCTCGACCGCCGCTACCGCCGGCACGATGTCGGTGTCGTGCGAGATCAACGGCGTTGGCGTCATGACATACAGCACGGGGGGTGGGAGCCGCCCCAACTCGAGCACCAGCTCAAATCGTTTTTGCCGCTGCAGCATCATCATCTACGACGTCCACGTGAGCTCGATCAAGTCGTGCGTGTCCAGTGGCTGCTACCTTTTGCTTGAGAAAGGCAACGCGTGCCGACTCGGCGGCGTGCGTCACGCCAAAGTACCAGTCGTGGTAGGCGCTGGACGGCGACGGCGACGGCTCGTGGTGACGGTGCGTAAACATGCGAATGGCATCATGGAAGGCCAAGTCGACACCCGCCTGCGATGCAGCCGCTTGCACCTACGATGCCGTCGCGACCATCAAGCGAAGTGGGTGTTCGATCCAAGACAAGGAGTGTACCGACGCGTTCTTGGCGGCTTCGTGGGCTTCTGCTTTGAGAAATTGGATCCGCGCTGCGTTGTGGGGCGTCGACCACCACGTGATAAAGGCCGCGCACTGGTTTGTCAATTGGATTTCGTCCACATCATCTAGAACCAAGAGCGTGTAAGGGATGCGCCGCAGAAACACCCGACAAGGAAAGTTGTCGACGCTGGTTCCTCGAATAGCATATCCCTTACCCGACACAATCGCCGACGCCAGGTGCGGCATGGAAATATGCGCCTTCATCGCTTGCCAACGCACAACACCGTCATGCATGGCGACCGCGAGCTCCTTCTGTTGCTCCATCAACGTGAGCGACTCCCACGGCACAAAGTCGACGGCTTGTCCGTTGGGCAGAGCAATGGCTTTGAAAAAGTCGACGTCGAGCGATCTCAATTCCGGCGGCAGGACGGGTTTCACGGCCGTCGCTTTGTTGAGCCTACACAGACTGTCATGGCCTGTATCGGGCCATCGATGGCCGCACTGACTTGTTCAACATGATCGCGGCGGCGTTCAGGATCGTCTGCTGCTTGGCGATCTCTTTCGCCTGGAGCTTGGCAAAGCTCTGCAGCGCGACATCGACCTCGCGCAATCGATTCTGCAACAGCACCGTGCGATCGACCAAACGCTGGGAGTAGTGCGGAGTTGCCGAGAAATCCACGGCCCCAAGCGCGTCCAGGTGGTGGTGCTGGAGGACAAACCCGCGGCAATACCATGCCACGTACCGGCACCACCGGTAAAACATGGGGCTGGAGCTGTTGACGCTGTCGCGGTCTGTTCGTTTGGGGATCGCAATGCCGTGGCTGAGTGCACTTTCGACGACGTGGGGGTCTTCCGTCGCAAAGAGCAGCTCTTGGCGGAGAAACGTCGACCGCGCCTGTGAACCAACACGCTGAGCCACCACCACATATTCGAGCGACTCCCGTACCTGCGGCGACTTCCGCGCGTACCAAAACGTGTACTTGTGGTACAGGACTTTGTCGGGGACATTCGACGGCATGTCGAGATCAAAACAGGACGGCGGCAAGTCCAGGCCAGCATCCGCGCAGAGGTGTCGGACTGCGGTCGTCATCAAACTCGCTTGAATCTCGACAAACTGCTGGGCGGGGGACAGATCGTCCCATGGAATGAAGAGCGAGTCCACATCAAACTCGTTGGCGGCATCGTGGTGGGGACCTTGCGACGAGTTGACGTCGGCAGCACCGGTCTGGCTCTGCAAAAACAGATTAAAGCAACCACAAAGGGGCTCGTTGAGATCCCGCGAAGGAGGCCATACCGTGGACGGGCGATCGCCGTGAGCGTCGAGCCAAAAGAGGGGAGCTCGAGGATTCGATGCGGGGCGCGTTGCCAGCTCGACCACATGCACATTCTTGGCCATCTTGGCACTGTAGTCGGCTCCTTTATCTGCAACACCCCCCGAAGCCTATGCCCACCACGAAAAGTTGAAGCATACCCGGCGACAGGCTGCGCATTCGAGAAACCTTGGGGGCCAAAACGGCGTGCCGGCGCTGCTGGAGGCGAGGCGGCGATGGCACGTTGTGCTGGTCGTCTTCGCTGGACGAGAGGATCCCGAAGGCAGACACAATGCCAGCACGAAGTGGCCGAACCTCGCGGACGTTCCTCGTCGACGGCGGGGGCTGCCGATACACGCGTGGAGCGTTCGTGCGCTTCGATATGTCTCGGTATGCTCGAGGCACCACCGTCATTTGTAGTGGCGTCGACTTACGTCGAATGTACTAGAAGCCGGTCAAAACACTCTAACGAACCCGTCCAGCAGCGTCTCCAATTCCCCGCGAAAGCACCAAAGGGCACATGAAAACGTAGCCTCCTACCTGGCCATGGAGCGCCCAGCCGGGTGGCGGCGAGTCGACTTGGGCGGCCATGCCGTTGGGATGGCCACTCCCGTCGGAAGGAGTCGCGGGTGTCGACTCGCTCATGTGCATTGGCACCGCCAGCACGTCTTGTTCATGCGATAAGTTGACGAACGTCTGGTGTGCACGAGCGAGGGCAGTCAGGTCTGTCACTCCTTACACGAAATGGGCAATTCCAAGAGGATGCCGTACCGAGTGCCGAGTCGGGGGGTGACTCTGGTGGTGGCGCTGGGGCGACCCAGGGGACAAGCGAGCGACTGCTTCCGCCACCTCGTCGCTTGGCATCACGTGCATATGCACGGTAGGCATCGTCAGTTGCACAGGGATGTCCATCGGTGGGTATCCCTCTTCGTTGCCTAGACCTCCAATTGGTTGGCTCGCTCCGATCTCACATCGATCCGCATGAACGTACATATTGTGCCAGGCGAGGACGGGTCGGGCGGAGGTCGCAACAAGTGGTGGTTGGCAGCCTCGACCACGAGCGCGAGAATTTGTCGCTGTAGTCGAGGCAGGACGAGGACGCGATCGACACCGGTGCCAACGCAGCAGAGAAAACTCAGTGCATTCCTAGCCGCACGAGGGCCACAATGAGTCTCCAGGGGTCGTCGAGCGAGACACGTGCGGCGTACGGAGTCGCGGCCGTGGAGAAATACCCTCCACAAGGGTTGGCGCTGAGGAGACTGCGTCGAAATGGCACGCAGATGTCCCCGACAAAGTACCAAAACAGGATCGTGTGGTCCCGAGCCATCGTGGCCACAAGCGTAAACTACAGCCACCGTGATGGTGGTGAGCCGACCCGGACGCTGTGGCACAAACGTACGTCAGGATCGCCAGTCGAACCGTCGCTGCGGTACACCGCTACATCCGAGACAGCGCTGCAGTGGGCCGCCGGACAGAACAGGACGGCTTTCTTGGACGTGCCGAGACTGGTTGCTACGATCCATGCGTTAGTTGTGCCAAGCGAATCATGCGGTGGACAGATTGAGCCCGGCGTGAAAACTCACCGCCTTTGCTGGAACGCCGTGGCAGCGCCCACAACTCGACGGCGCCAGTTTCGCACCCGCAACACAAGTGGCTTCCGTTCACGAGTTTTGCGACGGACACATGGATCGAGTGGGTTTTGAAGAGCCCGGCGAGGCGCCACCGCGTGGTGTCCATGTGGGTGCCGTCGACTGCAGATATCGGAGCCTCCACCATCCATTCCCAAACCTTGATTTGCCCGTCAAATGCTGTCGTAACCATGCACGGTCGACATGGCGTGGCCTGGGACGCCGGAGACCTCGGTGCGATGCCGCTCTCGTTGCTATCGCTGTCGGGATACGACAGTGCCGCCGGGACTTGAATGGACACAATGCTAGCCACACATTCCGTCAGTTGCAACGCGGTCCATGAACCTACGGTTCGGAGTGTGCCGCGATGCTGCCGCAGAATGTCGAGGCATGCGGCTCGATAAACCAAGTGTCGAGCAATCCGTCGGCGTCCCCAGCCACCAGCGCCACAACCGCGTTGGGTAGCTGCACCGTGCCCACACAATCGGCCATGACTCCTACGCATGACGCCGTCACCGTTGACACGCGCTCTCCCCCCCGCCATTCCGTTTAGAGAGAGTGGGTGGCGTACCTGAAGGCCGCTTGAGCAAGCGCCACCGCTGTCCGTTGAGCGAAAACAAGTCGAGGACGCCGTCCGACCACCCGACGATGACTTTTGCCAGGTATGCCGAGTACTCGAGAAAGCAAAGGACCGGGTCGGGCGCGGCTCCGTTTGTGTCCAGCCCATGATAATCGACTCCTACGGCGACATGTGGACTCCCGCTAGCCCCGAAGCGCGTGCCAAATACGCATGTCGAAGGTACCTTCATGGCGGGGAAGGGCCAGTTGGCACACCGGCAGCGCGACGTCTTCGAAAAGTTGCACCGACTTGGCGACTGCAGTTCCTCCAAAGAGAGAGTACCCTCGACGTGGAACGTGGCCGCGCTGGGGCGGCGACGGCAGTGTGAACGAAATTTCCTAGCATCGATGGATGAGCGTCAGCCGCGACGACTGCGAGCCCCAATTGTGGCTTCTACCCGAAGGCTGAACAACTTGGACGACGAAGTCAGCATGCGGGACGTGGACCGCGCCGAGAGGACTTCCACGACGCGAATGCAACTTCCGTCAGGGTGGGTTTGCACAAGTATCACAAAATCGCGCGCCGAGTACTGGGCATTGGCAAAAACAAAGCCCGCCGTGCCGTCCCTCGTCGGAGGGGCCAGGCTGGGCGGGGGCATGGCCCATGCATCCGCGACTACGCACATAAGAATCTCCGTGGGCTATCGCACTCGAGCCTGCCTCGCCCTTGCAGGACCGCCGTCCGAAGGGCACCGCCGGCCTGGACCGGACGAGTTGAGTCGTACCTGCATCCATCGGCAACTGCAACGACTTCAGCTGAAACGACAGCGGTGGGATGATGGCATGTCGATCCAGCTCTCCGCATGGAACGACCATGACTTTGGACGAGGCAGTGAGAATGACGACGGCGGCCAGCCCCGGTTTCGTTGCATACGCCGACGGCGTGTGCGTGAGGCAGCAGCTCATGACGTCGTCAGCGCCACCACCATCGACGCGTTCATGGGCATTTTGGTACGGATGCACATCCATATAGGTCGGGTCTAGCTTGAGACTCGACACATCCCACACGTCGACGCCGCTACACGAGAGCCATGGACTCCGTGACCAAACAGGGCGACGAAACGAGAGTACCGCGGGCCAATGGCCAGGACATGGTGCACGTGGGGAACGTAAACAAGCTGTCGAACGTGCGGTGCAGGCGCTCTGGTTGCGTGGCGGCATTTTGCAAGCACTGCTCCAGATAACGCGTCAAAGACTTTGATGGCGCAGCTCGACGCTGCCACAATTCGTTGGTGCTGTGTGTCGACGCACAGCACATGCCATGTCGTGTTCTACGAGAACGAGTCGGAGATGAATCGTTCCGTTCATCGCAGCCAACGTGGGGCCAACACAATCGATCGAGCAGTGGCTCCCGCGCATCTAGATCAACCTTGGCATCTTGCACATGCAGACGGGTGGGGCATCGATGCCACTCGAGCTTCTTGGGGGGGCTACTGGCCGTGCCCCCCGTTGTCCCGCCCTGGTTGCCTACAGCGTCATGCAAACCGCTGCCGTTGCTGAGAACACCACCGCGGCGGGCGGCGTCACCCGACACGCTGGCGCTACGAATGGACCACATGCGGATGCCCCCGACGGAATCGGTCGTGACGAGCTCGTGGACATTGTGGTTCATTGCCACATCCAGCAGTGTTCCTACATAGGGACGAAAACGTCCATGGTCGGATGAAGGCAGGGACGGCGAATGCGACACCTTCGTGACACAACACGCCAAGGTCGTCGAAGGCGTAGCCAACGGCCCCTAGTCTGCACGATGACCGTAAGCCCCATGGTTCCATGTCGAGATCGGATCAACATGTCTTGAGCCGTACTGGAGCAATCGTCGATGAAGAGCAGGACCCACGACGCAAAACACCACGAACGCATTCGTCTGGAATCGATGGGTAACCTCATGCCGCTGAATGTCGTGCTGTTCTCGACAAGTCGTACCCATTCCACGTACACCACCCGGACAAACGCTTCACCGCCTTGAGCGTGCCACGTATGCCGCAGCTACAACAGTCCGCGTGACGGACGCATTCGGTCCCAATTGCGAGCAACTCGTACTTGCACTTCGTCGGATGCGAGCCCGGTGTACACTTGCAGGACGGCTCCGTTGGTCACGACGAGCTCGTGGTCTCGGAAATTGTAGTCGCTGGACGTGATGGACGCCACTGTCGACACGATTTCGTCGCGAAGGAGCAAGGTCGGTGGCGCGGCCATGCCCGCCGCCAACGTCGTCGCGAATATCCACTTGCAACAACGCTGTTTGAAATTGCATTTGCTGTTTGTATACAATTCGGTCGAATGTTTTTATTATTATTATAGTGTCACGTGTAACCGACAATGCAACGCTCGAGCAACTGCACGAGGTGCCCGTGGCGCATCGTGAGCGGCGCTGCTGCCGTTGGACTGCTGCTGGCGGTAACCAGACACGATTCCAATCCTCTGTGTCTGTGTTGAATATGGTACACATCGATTCGCATTACGCCAAAACTAGCTAGAGCACTTGCAAGCACCGAGTCGAGTCGAACGCGGTGTGGATCGTTCCGTGTTCGCCGAGCACGACAATGCTGCCGGGCCGGTGCACGTCCTTGCGTTCGCGACCTCGATTCAGTTTTCGGTACACCACAACAACCAACGCCATGGCGACGACCCCGGCCATCCCGATGCACGACACCATGATGATCATGCTCGCCGACATGGACGATCCGTCCGACGTGGCTTTCACGGAGATGTCGTTCACTTGCTGAGGCACTTCCGTCGTCGGTTCTTGCTGGCTCGAAGGCGGGAGACTCAAGCGGGGGGCTGTCGAAGCAGGTGGGTCCTCGGGAGCTGTCTCTGCATTCACGTCAGGAGTCGACGGCTTGACTTCGTCACCCGACGTCGTCGACAATGGACTCGTAGTTGCAATGTCCGTGTGTGGGAGATCCGTGAGCGGCGCGCCAGTCGACGGTTCTTCTGTGAACGGTCCATCAGTGGAGGGAGCTTCCGTTGTCGCCGGCAATGTGATGGGGCTGGATGTGGTTGGAGGCGAAGTTGTTTCCGGTGCTATTGTGTACGGGGCTTCCGTCGTTGTTGTGATGGAGGTCGATGGAAGGGATGCCGTCGTGGGAGGGGTTGTCGTTGTCGATGGGGGTTCTGTTTGTGGATTTGACGTGGTGGGCGGCGAGGTCGTCGCAGGAGCGGCCGTCGTCGGGGCCGTCGTT